TTATAATGATACATCTATTGTTAGAAAATATGATGGAGAGATTAGAGTCTGATCAAGGCTTGCCTTTTAGATTTTAAACTATTTTATGTCAATTTCCCTATTGTATTAAATGAAGATAATCACATTTCTAATCTCTTACGTGAGGGAATAGTAATAAATAGCACAACCATTTAAAATTAATTTGTTAAGCTATTAAGTAGCTGGTGATTTGGACTGTTTTTATATTGCCAACTAGTCTGAGCAAAAAATTCATTCAGTAAATTTTCTGCATAATCACTGACATGATTTTGTTTCATATTCTCTACTGATTGATATATGGAATTCTGTTACAGTGTATGAGCTTGTATTAGTTTTACATATAGCATGCTAATATTATTTTACATTTCTAGTATACAGGAAATAAATTCTTACCTGTGGAATTGGCCATGGTGGTTGTTGATAAGGAAACATCCCATTGCCAAATGGTGGGAATGCCTAGAAGACAAGTCGGAGTTATGTGGAAGTGTGAATAATAAGAAATGAAATAAAGTGAATGCAATTATTTGACTACTGGAGGCTAACATTTTCATTTGCATGAATTTTCTCCCTCACTCTGTCTCTTCCTCTCTGTTTTGTGTAGAGATGATAGTAGTAATTGGTATTATTGAACATGTACTCTAAGGAGTATGCTGAGTATTTTATATTGTTCACTTAACTTCAGTTAACTATGCATGATTACTATTCCCATTTTACCTAAGAATCTGAGGCTAAGAGAAGTTAGTTGCCCCAAATGGCAGAGGAATAACTAAAGCCTGGATTCAAACTCAAGAATGTGTTTCTATTTACTTTTGTACTCCCTATAGGTACAATTGTATGTGATAACAAATAACCCAAACCAGTATTTCTGAAGCTCTAGCAGGAGATCTTGAGAAACCATTTGTACATCTCCTTGCTATGTCATGACTACACTTAAGTCATCCCGAAGTACTGGAAGCAGTGGCAATTTCAGAGTATTACAGATCGTCAAAGCATAGACCTGGAAAGGACTTAGAAACCATTTCATCTATTCATGGAGAAATGAGTCTAGAAAGGTAAAGTTGCTCAAGAGCATACAACTAATAAAGATTGGAGGTAGAACTTGACCTTTCTCTTTTGACTCTTATACTAGTAGTCATGTTGATATATCATGCTGACTCTGTATCCTATTTTATTTTAAATTTATTTTTACAGGGTGTCTCACGACCTAGACTAGGCTGGCCTTGAACTCATGATCTTCCTATCTCAGCCTTCCTAGCATTGGCATTCCAGACATGCCCCACAACCCATAACTTGATTCTGTGTTTTAAAAGGATCTTCGTTAGAGCCACAATAGTTGTGTAATTTTGAACTAAATAAGGCTAGACTTGACCTGCCAGGTAATTTTTGATAAATGTCAGTATTAACATCACATTATCACATAACACTGCCTGTACTCAATTTTGGAGCAAGTATGTATACAGGAAAGGTACACATACCTCCAAATCTCTTTTGAGGCCTTTTAATGCCTCTGATTTGGAAGTCTTCTAGACAAGCCTCACCTGAGGTGACTGGCCTTCCTCTTTGGCCTGAGTTGCCTTGTTTGGCGGTTCTTTTGAAGGCTGCTTTTGTGGTTGTGGCTCGTTTGGCTGAGTCTGGTTGGGTTTGAGGGTCTCCTGAGTTTGCTCAGTCTTGCTCTGGAAATTGGGTGTTGGAGGTTGCTGCCATCCATTGGGTACTGGCTGAGGCCACATGGGCATCTGGTATGGTGGAAAATGTGGAGGCATTTGTGGAGGCGGAGGCATTTGAAAACCATTTCCATATGGGCCCATGTTCATCATCTGAAAGAGTATCAAAAACAGTTACATCAGATTAGGGTTGAGATTCAGACTCTTCCCACCTTCTATTGTAAGCTTTCAAAACCAAGCCAAGATGCTTAAAAAATCCATGGAATCTGACCTCAAGAGCTTAAATGAAAACTTTTATTTCAATCTTCTAGGTAGCCAGTCAAACTAATCAAAAGGTAGACTTCAATGAGAAATTTCAGTTTAAGAATTTGATGAGGGCTGGAGAGATGGTTCAGCAATTAAGAGCAGAGGGCTCAGGTTCGCACCACCCACAAGGAGGCTAACTGTCCATAACTCCATTATAGGGGTTCTGATGCCCACTTCTGGCTTCCATGAGCATCACATGCTTGGGTTTACTTAACATGCAGGCAAAACACTCTACGCATAAAATATAAATAAATAAATTAATTAAAAAATAATAAAAATTTTGTTGGTCTGGGGAGATGGGTCTGTGGATAAAGTGCTTGCCATATAAGTGTGAGAGCCTGCGTTTGGATTCCCAGAGCACATGGGAAATTGGGCATAGCAGTGTGCTTCTGTAATCCCAGTACTCCTATAGTGAGTTGGGAGATGGAGACAAAGGAAAGGAATCTATGGACGCCCACGAGCCAGCTAGCCTGGCATATGCAATGTGGACAATAAAGAGACCCTGTCTCAAATAAGGTAGAAGACAGGGTTGATCCACCACACATACACATACATTACACACACACACACACACACACACACACACACACGGCAATCTTTCTGACTCTGAATCCTAAGTGCTAATATTTAAGGTGTGTGCCACCACACCTAGCATAAAAATTTTATGATTTCTAATTCTGAAATCCTGACTCAGATAAAAGTGTACACATTTTAGTGGAGAATTTTATGTCAAATTAAAAACTCATGTGACTTGTTATAGATAAAGTAAGAGAAAGAAAAGCAGACAAAAACAACAAAACAAAGCAAAACAAGCAACCCCCCAAACCAAACAGACAACAAACAAAAACCAAAAAAAAGATGCAGAATTTTTAGGAGTTATGCTGTTGAAAATTCCAACTCATAGGCAGACATTAAAACTCTCCACAAAGTTGGGCAAATCAGAAGCTTAGAAGGAGAATACTGAAAATGATGAAAGCTTTAGGCAAAGTCCTTAAGAAAGAATTATTTGAATGAAAAGGATTAAGACAAAATTGGTAAGGTCCTTTATAATGCCACAAACATAAACAGTGACATGCACTTTTGGGCTATATTATAACGTTGTTAGAAGATCCAGCTGATGCTTGATTTATGGTTTGGTTTGTTCTAGGAATTAGCATATAGCCACAAGAATAACCTATGTTTATTTCAGTAAAATAAAAAAATTAATCCACAATTTTAGTGTTATTTTTAAGATAATTAAAATAAAAGTAACTTCTCCAATAGTATTTGCTCATTTTTTTTTTTGAAGCAGGGTGTTCCTGTAACCCCAGCTGGCCTAGAACTTGCTATACAGACCAGGCTGACCTTGATCTCACAGAGATCTGCCTGCCTCTGGCTCCTGAGTGCTGATATTAAAGGAATGTACCACCATGCCTGGTTTACTATACTATTTTTGTTGCCATTACTTGTGAAAATGTCTCCTGTGAACTTTACCTACAACCAAGGCTTCTAAGACATAAAGAATGGCTGTAATTAGTAGGTGATATTCATTTGTAGAATAAAATGATAGTAATGAATAAGAAAAAATTGTCACGAGAGGTCAAGTGAAATGATTTTTCCTTCTTGATACATTTTGAGTTATATCGCAACTAAGACATGCAGATGGCAATTCACATTGCTGTCAAAGACAACCATTATAACCTCGCTATCTGGATATAAGCAAGAAATTCTTAGAAATAATATAAAGAAGAACTTACTGGTGGGGCGTTCATAAAGTTGAATGGAGCATAACGCATCATCTGAAAAGAAATGACTCCATTAATGTGGTATAAAATAAAAAGTATACAATCAATACACAAATAACAAGAAATAAGTCAAATTTATGATTTGAAGGCACAATAATATATGAATTTGAAATAAGCATTCATTAAAAAATTTCTACAATACCTTAAATTTTTAATGTATGCTACCTGTATGTTCAGGTGTGTGTGTGTTCAAGTGCATGCATATGTGTCTGTGTACATACAGAAGCTAATACCTTGGGTATTGTTCTTTTAACTTGTTTTGTGAGATAAAGTCTCATTGGGATTTGGTCCTTCTTCAATATGCTAGGCAGGCTGGCCAGGGAGCTCCACAAATCCTCCTGTCTCCATTCTCCAGTGTTATTATTGCAAGTGAGTGTCAGCATGTTGTTTACTTACATGGGTTCTGAGCATCAAACTCAGATTCTCATGCTTTATGGCAAGCATTTTACCAACTGAACCATCATCTTAGACCCCGAGTATCTTGATTTTTAGACAGAATTTCATATTGAATCAATATAGAACAATAGAAAATAAACATAGGATTTACTGTGAATATTTTGAATGGTTTGATTATTTGGAGTTCAGGATTTGAGAACAAGATAAGCCTATGGTAAGATGATTCTTCCTTCTGATGTACATGGAATTTGATCACTGGCTTGAATTATGTGAAAGCTATGTATATGCAAGAGCATCTACCTTCTAATAATCCTCGGTATAAATAGCTATCTTGCTAGATAACAAAGTTAACCAAGAAGCTAGCAACTAAATTTTAACCTAAATCAACATTTACTCTGAAAGGGACTATTGATACACATAAGATTGTGCTGAGAAAATTGTTAGTTTGCTTGGATTTTAGTCAAAGACTTTCAACTCTCCTTCTCTTTACCTCTTCATAAGAAATTTTATAATCCAAAAAATATACCAATAGTCTCCTATTTATGAACTTCTAGGATAGGACTCTGTGCACTTCTCCCCCAGTACAGAGTATACATACCTCCTCACTTTTACTGCTAAATCCAGGCATTCGGGGCATTTGCATCTGAAACTGAGAGAATATTAGTGATAAGTGCAGAACCTTAGTGGAAATATACCTTCAACCGTTTGCAAGCAATGCAGCAATAGAATAAAAAAGAAAAGATTCAGCATTCCAACATAAACATGAACACTTACTGGCATGGCAGCAGAATTACCAAGTAAACCTAGAAAAACCAGGAAAATCTTCATTTTCCCATTTGGAACCTAGAATGTAAAATTGAATATTATTTTGGGACAGCAAAATAATTATGCTTAGGGCACTCTATAGTTGCTTAGATACTAGCCTACAAATAACTTCTAAGGGAAGTACAGAGATATAAAGGGTTTCTACTGCTTTTTATGTTGACTGATAGATTCCAAACTGCCCAGAAATTCAGATTAAGAAAGATAAGGTGAGTGAGACCCAAAATAGAAATATTTATGATTCTGTGTGTCTAGCTGCAAAGTTACTCTAGAAAAGCACGATGAAGTTCAGCTACATTCATTGTACAGAATTAAATCACTTTCACTGAATGTACGCTTCAAAAATCAGGACTTGGGGCTGGAGAGATGGCTCAACAGTTAAAAGCACTGACTGCTCTTGGAGAGGACCGGGGTTCGATTCCCAGTGCCCACATGGAGGCTATGAACCGTCATTAACTCCAGTTCCAGGGGAATCTGAAACCCTCTTCTGACTGCTATGTCACTGCACGACATGGGTGCACTCACATACATGCAGGCAATATACTCATATACATAAAATAAAAATAATAAATAAAAAATCAGGACTTTATACACTTTTCTAAGATGTTGTATCCAACATTCCATTACATAAAAAATAACATTATAATTAACTGAATTGGAAAACTCTACAATGTCAATGTTATTTTTTTCCTTTGTTCCTCTATTTTTCTTCCTATTATTTTTATGATTTTTACCTTTACAAATGCACTTTTTTAAAAAATAAAAAGTTAATGATATATTTATTCTATATAAGGCTTAGTGGAGAACCAATTTTTAAACTGTTTTGTGTATATAATTTGACATTGTAATTAACAATTGTTTATTACAAGTTTTATTAATAAGTATGTAATTACTGTAGAAAAGCATAAAAATCATAGCACTTTTGCTCAAGGTCTGGTCAGAAAAAATAAGAAACAAATGTAGATTTGTCTCTTCCTTTGAAAAACAACAGCAGACATTAATGTGTTTAGTATAGGTTACAAAGCTGCAAGAAAGCTAAAAAACAGAATGTGACTGGAGGCCCCCTTTCTAATGTTACCAAGATTGTGTATCAAAATTTTGGGGAAATTTTAAGTGTTTATTTTGTTCAGTTATCCATTTCATCTTTATAGTAGCAGTCACAGTGACTTGATAAATCTGCACACTAGGGAAGGAAGGTATCTAATATTCTTTTACATGTATAAAATGCCACTTATTTTCTCTTTTTTCAATTATGTTGGGTAATTTTTAAAGACCCTTCTAACTCTAAAAGTTCATAATCGAGTAACTGTCTATCATTTTTTAACTCGAAAAGAATTCTCAGAGGCTGCTCTGATGTACAATGACAATGTAAATATTCGCTTCTATTTTATCTTACATATTTAAACAAGACTGTGTCCTCTCAGTGTACTTAATAGACTTGGTAATTTGAAAGACAGGATCTTAGAAACAAATAAATGAAAATACTCACCAAGTTACATAACTTCTGAAAAGAGGCTGTGTTTCTGCACTGAAGCAGCAACATTTTTTCACCAAAATTTTCATAAGCCTTTTGGGAAGAATAAAGATTTTACATGAGAAGGAACTCAAACTTGAAAATGAAACAAACAAATGAAATGAATAGCAAAGTGTCACCTCTAAGGTAGCCCATGTCATGTTAATAACTTTATCGAAGCATACCCTTATTAGAGGGTCCTCAAAATCAAGCTTAGTCTTCGGTTCTTTAAGGTTAGGATGAAAGCTAAATCAGAGAGAAAATGAGATAGGCATCGTATTTTGAAATACTTCTAGTGCATTGTTGACAAAATGACTTCTTTATGGGAAAATGTAAAAAGTTACAGTATTAAAGGAGGTCAAAGTAGTTGGAGGAAAACCTATAAGAAAAACAAATATATCAAATAAACTGAGGAATTGAAACTTTCATCAGAAGATTAGTTTACAAAAAATGATTATGCAAAAACATCAAGGAAGGCAATAGGGAAAGGAATCAACATCTATGAATAAGGCCATTATTTGACACTATAAAATTTATGTTGATAATCTTTAATACTCACCCAATGCCAGTTAGAAGCTGCAATATATACAAAATGAACTTTGTTAGCCTGTCTTTGAAATACAGTCTTAATAGTCTATGGTGGAAATGACTACAAATTTCTAAAGTCAGGGAAAGCCAAGGAGCAAGACACATTTATTTCTTAATAATAAAACAAAAATTCTTCATGAAGGTGGTGTCATGTTCAGTACCCAAAAGGCTTAACATAAAAAGTTTCCTCCTTGCCAGAAATCTTGATAGCAAGATCACATTTAAGCACTGTTGTAGACATGTACAACCAATCAGCTTTGAGGAAAATGGTTTTGCCATCACAAGAGTTTAAGGTTAAAAAAATCCAATGTAAAATTTATAATGTGTTATTATAGGAGCTGTCAAATCAAGTCTCTTATTATCTATAATAACAGTTCAGAAAACAAGCTTACAGCAGTAAGATTTAGAAGATGCTTTCCTTGTGAGTTTGGGCTTTGAAGCATAGAAACTTCATTTATACAAATATATTTTGGGAACAAAGGTAAATATTAACTATATGCTACTGACATAAATTGTTGGCCATTGTCAAAAGGTAGAATGACATATATCTAATAATGTACAGTTGATATGTAATTAAACTGGACTATTATATCCATGACCAACTCAATTACTTGATTTGATTTGTATTATATAATATCCTAGGACATAGTTTCTTATTTTATTTACTTATTTTTTTAATAATTTTATGTGTATGCATGTATTGCCTACATATAGGTAAGTGTACCTGTGTTGTGCAATGCCTGTGGAGGTCAGAAGAGGGTTTCGGATTCCCTGGGACTGGAGTTACGGACAGTGGTTAGCTGCCATTAGGGTGCTGGGATTCGAACCCGGGTCTTCTGCAAGAACAACTAGTGTTCTTAACCGCTGAGCCATCTCTTCAGCCCCGGTATAGTTTCTTTTTGAAATCAAACGTAGCTTAGTCATTGGGAATTTAGAATTTTAGAAGAGCTGGGTGAATGTTTATGGTACAATCTTGTAAAAATTAAGTTGAGAAATTCACTTGGAGTTATACGTTTTTTCATGCATCCTGATTTCTCTTAGTAAAGATCACCTCTAAATAAATCAAATTATACTTTTTACTGATAAAAAAGCTTTGCATTCTTTGTTGAACTTGGATACTCCTTTTTTATAAGTCTTCTTGAGAGAAAATGTTTGTCATGGTGATGTTTCTTTAGTTTAATGCTGACTTTTAAAAACTGAGAATTGAGTTTGCTCTTTCCTACTTGTTATGACTGTGTCTACCAGTGGTTGCACATGTGCTCTTCTAAGACATGAGAAATGCCATGTTTTCCACTTTGGATCACACAACAATGCAGCTTTTAGTGACCACTTCCCTGAAATTTAGTGCCATAAAGAATGACAGTGTTAGAAAATCATCTTTAAGCTGGAAATATTTAAAAGTCTATATCCAAAATTTGCAAAGGTCTACATGGTTCATGTGTTTTGCTGCCTTTTTCTGATTATGAAGAAATTGAGTAGCAAGTATAATATTGTGTGTACATTGACATGAATTTTCAAGTGGTAAGACTCCTGTGGGCATGCTGGGGTGAAGTGTGACTCACGGGCTATGCTGTGCTTTCCACAGAGGCCTGACATTTTGTTTTGTCCTTACTAAATAGACTACTGGGAGTCGCTGTTAAAACTTCACTGCTGATTGCGTTCTCAGTTTACCCCACTTTGTTTCAGACTCTTGGAGGGTACGTTCTCTTTCAGGAAGGGAAAGTTTATTTTCACAAAGATGTATGAATTCTTTTAAAAAAAACTATTTTGTTTACTATTCCTATTTTATAAGTATATTCCCTTCATGTGTTAAGTGCATCCAGGTTGTGCAATGCCCTCAGAGGTCAGAAGAGGGTACTGGATACCCTGGAACTGGAGTTACAGATAGTTGTTAGCTGCCATGTGGGTGCTGGAAATTCAAAAAGTGCTCTGAACTGCTGACTTCTTCAGCCCCCACAGATGTATGAATTCTGAAACCAAGATGAGAAGTTTGTTTTATAGACGCATAAGTTACTGGGTGTTGCCACCAAAATACCACTGTTTGCTTTATTTATATTAGTTGTCTGTGATACAAAGTCAGTTGGTGATCATTAAAATCCCTATTTCTCAGGTGCAGGGTGTAGTGGTACATACCTTTAATCCCAGTACTCAGGAGGTGGGGTGGATCTCTGTGAGATTGAGGCCAGCCTGGTCTACACAGGGACTTCCAGGCAGGCTGAGGTATAGGGAGACCTTGTCTCAAAGAGAAGCCCTCTCAGAAGATCAGTACTTCTCTTGAGGAAATGAACTCTTTGTAAGGTTGGATTAGATTGAGAAAGCAACTAAAACTTCCTTTTAAGAAAAAAAGTAAAAATGTGCTTAACTCATAAAATTTTTTGAAATTTGTCTGACTTTTCAACTTTCTGTGAATATATTTTATAACTTAGCTTTTAAAATTTTGTGTACAGCTGTTTATTTATTTATTTTTTTCCTTTATGCTTCCCTTCTCATCCAAAAACAAGACTGCTTGGGGGCTAGAGAGATGGCTCAGTGTTTAAAAGCACTTGTTGCTCTTGCAGAGGACCCAGGTTCTATTCCCAGCACCCACAACAGCTAACAACTGTTCATAACTCTAGTTTCAGGGAATCCAGTGCTGTCTCGTCTGGTCTTTATGGGCATTGCATACATGTGGTGCACTTACATGAATGCAGAAACAACATTCATGCACATAAAATAAAAATAAATAAATAAAACAATTAAAAATAGAAACAAGGCTTCTCAATCTGGAACCAGAACTTCTGCGTTTGTGTGTAAATGCAACTCCTCTCCCGAAAGAGAGAACATATCCTTTTTTTTTGCCTCCATTTGTTAAGATCTTTTTGTTGATCTAAGCTAGTAGGCACAGATTTTTGATTTCTTGCTCTTAGATATGGTAGAAAAAGACTAGGTTTTGAGTTATCAGACTGAGGTTTAAACTTACTATTACAACTTATCCAACTGTCCTGTCTGATTTCCTGTTCAATAAAATAGCAGCAGTAATATTGTGTCCTGTAAGTTTCTCCTAATGAATAAATCAAACAATATGCATACAATGTGGTTAGTAATCCATGATCAACTAATCAATACATTAGGTAGTTTTGTGGTTGCATGCTGTAACTTGCAATGCTTTAGTAATGACTAAAGAGTAATAAAATTATAGTTTTGAGAGAAGCCAGATGGTCTTCTAAAGATAACTATCAAATGGAGGCTCTGTGGATTGTTATTAAAGGCAGAGCTTCCAGCCGTGTTGGATAACTAAATGAAGCACTTGAGACAAAGCGCTAGGTCTTAGTGTCTTGGGACTCCATTATTGGTGCCAAATAGTGTTTAAACATCTACAATGTTGTTCTTCTCTCTGAAGCTATCCAAATCATGTATTCTCAGCCGCTAAATGTGATACACTCTTCTCACAGGAAGAAGAGGAAGGGTAATTTTTCTTAGATACTAATCTCTAGCAGTTAATAGCATTTGAATGGTTAATAGAGTTCAATTTCACAAACTGTTCCTGAGCAGCTTCTTCATGTAAAGCCCTGGCTAAGGTGCCCACCAGTCTGCACAGTCTATTAGGATAGGAAATTTGCTTGGTAGTGAGTTCAAATTTTAGCTTCTATAACTTAGATGTTTTAAAGTCTTGGTCAAGTGGTTTAATCTTTTTTGGTCTCTTTGAGATAGGGTCCTCCTATAGCCCAGCTGGCCTGGAACTGGATACATAGACCAGGCTGGCCTTGAATTCACAGAGATTCACCTGCCTCTGCCTCCTGAGTGCTGGGATTAAAGGTGTGTACCACCATGTCTGGTAAGTGGTTTAATCTTTTAAAGTCTCAGTTTTTTAATTTGTAAAATGAGGGATTAGGGATTAGTAACGCTTTTATTGTTTGTTGATAATTTGAGGTAATTTTTTAGTTTTTAGTATATAGTGCAAATAAATGTTATAGATAAACAAATGTTACTTATTATTACAATTAAAAGTTTATCAATAGTTGCTTTTTTACCAAACACTGAAACATTTCTTAAAGATTTAAAAGTAGCATTTCTCCTCATTATACTTATTTATTTATATAAAGGCGTGTGTGTAGAGAAATGGCTCAACAGATGGCATTAGATGGCTCAGATGCTTGTAGAGGACCAGGGTGCAGTTCCCAGAACCCACATGGCATCTCCCAACTACCTGTAACTCCAGTTCCAAGGGCTCTGACACTCTTTTATGGGTGCTGTAGGCATTGCAATGCATGTGGTACACTTACATACATGCAGGCAAAACACATGTAAAATAAAATAAATCTTAAACAACAACAACAACAACTGGGCATGCTGGTGCACATCTGTAATCCTAGCACTCAGGAAGCTGAAGCAGGAGGAATGCCATGTGTTCCAAGACAGACTGGGCTAAACAGTGAGATTCTGTCTCAGAAAACAAACAAACA